TATATATATATATATATATATATATATATATATATATATATCTTTTACACATAATAAAGTCATATAAGCTAAAAAAAAAAGATATTTTTTTTCCTCCCAAAAAGGCAAAAAAAAGCAATGTATTTTCACCAAAATATTACTACTACAAGTTATAGAATTAGGCAGAGGAATGGATAACCAAAAAGGGAATATTAGGTAAATATGAATAATATAAATAGAATAGCAAAACCAATAATCTTTGGTCTTTAATTTAATTAATTTCAAAATTGTTCTTTACTAGAACAAGGACAACTTGTTACAAGACAAATATTTGGCCTTAACTTTTTTTTCCATACTACCAAACTTCTTGTGTCTTTCTAACAAAAAGTAGTTGCTAAAAGGAAAGAGAAGTTTAATCAATTCTATGCAAGTAAAACAATATTAGCATCTAGGTAGCAAATCAAAATATTGAGAATATAATTAGCTAACAAAAGTATTTTCTTTCTAATACCTTCAACTTTTAGGTGAAAATGGTTGCACATTTTAATATAATATCAAATCAGACATAACGAAGGCTTGGATTATTACATCCACTTGTTACAACAAAAAATAAGTAACTTTGTAATGGTATTATGCATCTTATCAATTTAAAATCTTAAATTCATCTCCATATAGAAAATAAAAAGAAAAAGCACAAGTTATAGTGTACTTTTAATAATGTAACGGATAAAACCCAAGGTGTGCCCTAGCTAACGGTCAATGAAGTAAATTACGAATCACAAGGTCTCGAGGATAGCACCCTAATTCTTATTGTTGGTGGGAGATGAAAAATATGTATTCCGTATGTAATATTAGTGAAGGTGTGTGAACTTTGACCCAGACAAGCAGACACCATAATTATCACACCCAAAAAAATATAATGACACAAAATATAAAAGGTAAACCTATAAACTTTAAATTTCAAATCTGCCACTATTTTTTTTAACTTCTAAATAAGAAGAGAAGAGTCTAGCATGAATGAGAGGAACCTATTAGAGTAGCCAAGGAGACTGCCTGGCCATCAAAGAAGAATGCTTGTATACATGTCATATACATGATATATATCACAAGCTAGCCTCAAGAACTAATGATGCAGGCAAGTCATCCTTGGCTATCAAATTAGGCACTTCCCTTCATGTAAGACACACTCTTCTTTTATCATTTCTTGATGAGCTTCTATATTTTTATTTTATTTTGAGCTATATAGACAATGTAAGAACACTACTATTTATATATACACATTTGACAATGTGAGAATACAAATCTAATTCTTTGATTCTTCCCTCTCTAATTTTTCCTCATGCAATTTATGCTTCTTCTATTTTTCTCTCACTTAAAAAGTAGTTTAATTTATTTTTGGTTTCCCCCGACGTCTAGTATTCTATTGGAGCACCGACTAAATCTTGATTGCATATAAAAGGGCTTATTAGAAGGTAACACTCACAACATAATTTTTTTAATATTCAAAATTGAAATTCGAATCAGTCTTATTATTTGACTATATATATATATATGTCATGCATGCATGTATTTTGCTTTATGGCATTTTGAAGGAGACAGAATTTCAACGACAACAAGAAATATTCTAAGATTAATTGTCAAACCAATTTGTACTATATCATGTTATAATTGAACACCTTTAATAGTTGATAAAGTGTTTCAATTAGATATTTTCACATCAAATGTTAAACTTACTTTTTTTGTGCTTGTTTACAAAATCTTAGGTGTTTTTTCTTTGAGGTTAATGTGAATAATTAACGTATAATTTAATTAAAAATAACTTAATTTGAATATATCTTAAATGGAATATTGTAATTAGTTTAGAGTGGACATTTGACTATAAATAAAGCCAAAAAGAATTGGTTCCAAAACCCATACTTTTCAGCTTTGACTTCTCATAAAAGACAGAATAAAATTCATGGCAGAAATATTTGACTAATTTACGGTTAATTCTGGAACAAAAAAAACTTTGCTAAAAGAATCAAATAATATCAACTTGTTGCCATTACTACAATCCCATTAAATATTTATTGGTATAATCGTCAAAAATAAGTTATAACTATCATAAAAATAACTTTTAAGAGCAATAAATATACAGATTAATAAAGACAGTTAAATTATTTACGTTAATTTTTGTTAGATCTAATGACGTTATAGGTTTCAGCTAGATTTTCAAAGAGTATTAGAATGTGATTGATAATAATAATTGTCTTAAAAAACACATTTCACAACAATTAAACTATTGTCGTTTATAATTATCGTTTAAGATCATTTTTGTTACAATAATAAGGCTAAGTTCAGACCAATGCTAGTAAACATGTTAGAAGATGTAATATACATACGATGAATGTTGATCCTTGATAATTTCGAGTTAGTGAACACAAGGATATTTCAAGTAAGACTGAAATGAGTTACCCTTTTATCGTTTTTGTTGGGTTTTAGCAAAATATGAATGAGAAAAGAGAAGAGAAAAATGAAAAAGTGAGGGAATCAATTTTGGAGGGAAAATAAAAAATCATTTGCAAAGTGCAAATTAAAAGTCATTTCTCCCATATTGGTAAAACGAAAGGAAATTGTTGTCGTTATATTAGGAAAAACATTTACTTCTTAAAGGGTTAAAAAGAAGATGTCCCTTCGCCCCGTCGCTAGCTC